ATAAGTGTATCCTGTATTGAATCGAAACAAATCGAATCTCTACTGTATGTTCCTCGTCCTTTCATAGTTCTCAGTACATACAGTATTACGCTACAGAAAAATATCAAGCTTTATAAATAATATCTAAGATCTATCGCTATCATACAATGAGTTGATGAGCCAGATGATCATGCGATCATAGTCTTTTCAAAACACAGAGAGCAGAAACAGTCGTACATAAGAGTGCGTTTCTGATATCAATATTATATGAATGGTACATAAGAAGAAGAAGAGATAAATCTATCAATATCTCTATGTTGGGTATATGGATTAAGAGGCTAATGTCGAAGTTCATATAGGAAGGAAGAAAGCAGATAATTGTTGTATATGAAGAGGAAAAGTATACAATCATAGATTGTCATAATACCGAGTATCTATCGTTTGAAACTTAACTTTAACAGTCTACCCTTCCGTTCAATTATTCGAGTATTCGTATACTTGCGAGTGAGTAAAAGGGTTCTGAAGGGACATCATTTCAGTGAGGATGAACAGAAGACTCTTGAAAGCAGTCGAATATTCAAATAATTGAAAAAAAAGACTGCAAAAATAGTTGAGTCGAAATTTCGAGTTTCGCATTACTAAAAGACGCAAGGATCATAGTAGCTATTCTTAGCGGACTGCTGTTTCATATGTGAAAAATGATCATGAATAATGAACATTACATAAATAACAAGAACGATGACAGTTGTTTGGTTAGTTTTGAAAAAGGTTGAAATTGACGAGGACCGTTCTCGAGACATCATTTGGAAGCACAAGTTTTATCTAAAGTATAACCCAATCAGTCGAGGGTAATGCGAGTCTCCCTCGACGAGCGTTATTTTATAATTTTTACTCCAAATAAACATTCAAAATTCATGAATTCTATGAGTTTATGAGTTATGTTATAATGAGAATGTGATATTTTATTGAGGAATATCTTTTTGATCTTTAATCATTGGAATAACCCTTGGTTTTTTATGACAAAGATGAATTTGCGGTGTTATATAAGTTAAAGCTAAACTCAATGTTAAAACGCATACTGATACACTTAATATAAGAATACGATAGAAACAAATAACAAGTTCATTAGTAAAAGCTAAAATTAGTAACATGATTGCAGTCGGTAAACCATAAATGCCTAGAAGAATAACAACAATAAGAATACGACGGAAAACCCTTCATATCTCGATGACGGAATCTTTTAAATTCAGAAAAATTTCGATTTAAACTTTGTTGATGTAAAAATTGAATAAGTCGAATGTAAAGCAATACTATTGAAAGAGAAGGTATTCCATAGATTATTAACATTGAATATGCAATACTTCGAGGATCATCTTTTGGTACCAAACAAGCATTTTCACCAGGAATTAATTCTTGACCATGCCATAATAATAAGGGCAGATTCAATAAAAAAGAAAATAACCAAAATAATGGAATAATTAACCAATATGTACGGAAATTTAAAAGATTTTGCCGAGAAACATAAATCAAACGACAAAGACGAAAAGTAGCCTAAAAAAATTCGAATTTTATTTATAACGAATAAAAAAGAACAAATGTTCGTTACTTGTAAAATAAATGCAAGATAAACAGCTGACATGAATACATAGAAAATATATGAATTCATACGACAAGATAATGTTTCTTTTTCATTATTTACTTCCTTTGAATCACCATGATAGATTCGAATATTAATTGTAAGTGTTAAAATGCCAAGAATAAATAATAATAAATAATTATTTGCACAAAGAAGTAGTTGAATATTATAAAGAGTTTTTCTTTGTAATAAAATACATATCAATACAATCAATGCTATGATTGTACCAAATATAGTTATTGTTAATGAGATAATATTTATACCAAAACATGTTTTATTTTTCATTGAAATAAAGTCAAACAGAAATGTTATTGAGTAGTTCTTTCATTTTTGAAGAAAAATTCAATTATCTTTGTCTTTTCTTAATTTATTCCTGAAATCAATCCTCTTATCTTTCTTTGCTATAAAGAGATTATCTCCATTCTCATTAACGATAGAAATTTTAAATATAAACTTTCAACAGTGTAACTATTGTCTCAGTTTCTATCAAATTTGACGCAATATCTGCAGTTTAGAAGCGATATTTGTATCATTGCTAGATTTCTTTTTACTCATAGTGTAACATTGAATCCACCCAACTTCCAATATTTTAATTTCAGAAAATAAATAAAATAAAATAACCTACAAAAATTAGATTATTTGTCTATTTGAAAAGATATTTTGATCTCTTTCTTTCTCTCGTACATTCATTGTTTGCATCGGCATAATGGCCGCTGCCTTACATCGAAAATAAATTCGAACAGTTCGTCGTATTTCTCGCTCTAAAAAGATATTGAATAATGCTGTAAGTGCAACATTGAACAGAAGTAATCAGATACAGTTGACCAGGTATTGTACCAATAACGATTATAATCACAGCACTGCGAAGAACACTGTCCGACTAAAGCATGAGTAAAATAAGAACGAAATCGAGAAGTAATGATTACTTGTATCCGAAAGAATAAAAATAACATGAATATAATTGTTATTAACAATAATTGAATAAAACGTCGAAGCAAACGATGCATTACAAAGTGTTACATGGTTAACTGTATGTAAACGCGATGTTTTTTCGATGAATTGACATTATAGTAAATATATATAAAAGATTACACAAATATAAACTAAAAAATGACAGTTTGTCATGATTAATTTAAGTGTAATTAATAAGACGAGAATGCATTTGAAACAAGAATTAGATTCAGTAGAATAATCCTGTGAGAAATAAATGTCTATTCCAAAGAACCCTTTTACTGTACTCATTTTACTTTTGCTTCAAACATTACTATCCAGTACGAAAATACTGAAAATTTTTGAAGAAAAACTTTTTTTTAGGATTTTATTGATTTGACATATAGTCAAGGTAGTTGTACTGGAGTTTACAAATTCGATCGACTCCTATAAATAGCTTTTTATGAAGCCCGGCACGGCAATAGTATGATAAGATTAAACAAAATATGAATTCGGTATTATTTAAACTGATTTCATTCTTTTACTATTGATTTCTACTTTCATCACATACAAATATATCATTCATTTTATGTTAACCACTCGTAAATGAATTGAAAGTATTAGTACTCATATCTACAATGAAGGATGGAATGACAGGAGAGTAAATGAATACTATGCTACAAATATTGCAGTTTTGTTAGAGAACTCGATTCAGAATAAAATGACGCATATACAGTTCTCTATTCAGTTAAGAAGAAAACAATTGAAAAGCGAAAGCAAAAATTTTCAGAGATATCTTCTGGTTCGAGATTCTCCTACACGGGCGTGCAAAAGATAAAATATAATAAAGAAATATTATTGAATATAGAATCGAAGTCTTTCCAATAGTCTAATGAGCTACACATTCGCATGTATTTAAGAAGATGTCTATGTAATTGGTATAAGTATTTATACTAATTATATCTTGACAATTATCATTATTGAAATCGGCAATATCAGTCCATATTTCATAATTAGAAAGATCATTTGAATAGATATTGTATATTTGGAATTTTCCATTTTCACTGCCAAGTAGACCATAAATTTCATATTGAGTGATTGTTCCAATAACAATATCTAAATATTTATCACCATTCAAATCACCTACAACAGGTGAGCCCAACAGTATGGAAGATCCCATAAATTTTTGTTCATTAGCATAAAAAGTATCATTACTATTTCGAAATAACATACATGTCATATACTGCCAATTATAAAGAAAAGCAATATCAGCTAGATTATTGCTATCAAAATCACCTGTTACTACACCAAATCGATCAACATTGAATGCAGTAAAAAACCATTTCTGTGGCTGATAACTTCCATTATTATCTGCATAAAAAACATGAATATGACGACTATGTTCATTCATTACAGCAATATCTAAATTTGTATCATTGTTGAAATCAACAACAAATAAACTTGATGAGGACGCCCAATGTTCTATAAACAATGTTGAGTTTAACAGAAAGGTTCCATTGGTATCTGCCAAATATATGTATACATAATCTTCAAGATCAATTATAATGATAATATCTAACAGTTCATCATGATTAAGGTCAACTATAACGATATGACGAGGAGAACCATCAATAGCTACGGATTGCATATCTTGTGTACGAAACGTACCATTTCCAACCCCGAATAAAATATTAATTTCTGAGTATAACGCTAAAATGAGATCAACCTGTCCATCATTATTCATATCATGAACGCGAATATGATATGGCCAAATATCAACATCAAAAATAACTGTCATCGTTGTTTCAAATGTATTATTGTCATCTCCAAGTAAAATATGTATTATTCGATCATCTTGACAAAGAAATATTATATCAACTTTATTATCAGAATTTATATCAGCAATAACGCTTGGTATTAACATAATCGATTGACATGAAACATTAATTGATAATTGATCAAATGCAGGTTGACATAAAAATGGTTCTAAAAAGAGAAACTTATAATTCATACTTTTTTCAAATGTTATATGAACGCACCTGATGTGTTCGAAGATGCCGGTACAGTTGTGATTATTGTTGTATTAAAATCATTGATCATTGTTATATGTATCGTTGAGTCTATTTAACAAATATTTAATAATTATTTCACGTACAATCGCTAGCAGTCCTAGAAATTTTGTTCTTACTTTGTCTTGAATAATATATTGAAAATAAAATGACACCTACTAATATGCATATTAATGGTGCAATGACACATATGATCTTCAAAAACGACGGATTACGTGGTAATCGTGTGTCCATTAGTGCTATATCATTATTCCAAGTTGTCTGCTGATTCATTGGATTTGCAGACGGAGGAGGTAGCGTCTCAATAAGAAGAGGATTGATTCGTTTCTTTCGATGATAATAAATCTTTGATCCAATTCGAACGAGTTTTGGACAAATCCATTTCAGGACAATTGTTAAACCACCTTGAATTCCAAGTATGATAGTAATTGTGTAAAATATATCAAATCTTTCAATAGTTGTATAGGAACACAGAGAAGGTAAACATTGTTGATAATACAATGAATAACTAATTTGGGTTGACCATTGTTCAACAAATAAATTCTTGACAAGTTCTTCTATTGTTGTATTCTGAGAAAATCGACTAGCATTTGTTGTTGTCGATGGAAGAGGAGTTAAAGAATTTGAATAGTTTGTATATTGTTGAATAAGATCAAGACATGATTGATCATAGAAACACTCAAGAGTCGAACGTAGAAATGACTGGCTTGGTGTGCAACCCATTTTCATACCTTTGATCAACGTTTTTGTTGACTTTGTTTCAATAATATTTGCTTGAGTTGTACAATTCGGGGACAATCCACACGAACAATTATCATCGTAAATAATAGGTTCTGTATACGCAAAACTACTTGATAATGCACTATATTTGTAATTTGTTCCATAAGTTGATATAATAGCATTTCCATGAAAAATACTTTGAGTGAAAAAGAGAAGACGAATAAATAAGATAGGAGCACTAGATTTACTCTGTTCTACTAAATTTTTCAGTCGATTTTCAAAATTAGTATTTGATAGAAGATCAACAGTAACTAATAACGATGTTAGAAATTCATTGATCGAATTATTTACTGCTTGTTGTGAAAGTTGACACAATCCTTGAAGATACTGTAAATGAGGCGAAAGAAATCGACGATAATCACTTTGTTCATAAATAGTTAAATTAGAATTAAGACCATTGACTAAATCTAGTTGCCTTTCTTTTAAAACAAATTCGCTTTTACATATCTAAACATAATTATCAAGAGCATATAGGAATATATTAATTAAAACTACTGCAATTTTCGTTTCTATTTTGTCAAAAAAATTCTATCTTACCGGGTGAAATAATGGTTCGATTTGAGCAAATTGATTATATGTTGAGACTATTTTTGAACATGTGCATCTTAATTCATCAGCATACATTTTTCTCAGATTATTATAATAAATGAAAGATGGTTTATTAAAATTTTTAGTCGATGTGTGCGGTTGAATAATTGTATAAAATATAAGAATAGTAAGACCACTTAGAAACAAGATAAAATATAGACGAGTTGCCCATTGACCATAACGCTTTGCTGTTATTCGATCAACATCACTTCCAAGATCACGTGATGTAAATATATTCATTTCAATTAATGTAATACGTATAAGTTTTATTAAATTTTTTATCATAGTTTTCAATCGATTGGTATGAACAGAATGAACTAAAATAAAAACAAAATATTGATACTATGAGAAATTCTTTTATTGCTATTAGTAACAATTCGGAATATTAAATGAAATATATATATATATATTGGTTAAAGAACTTCCGTTAAATTACCTTGTTCAGTTTTTTTCTTGAATGCTTTCGAAAATCCCAAAATAAACTTTACTAAATGAGGTGTTAAAATACGTAATGAGACAACAATACCACCAATCATTGATATTAGTTTTACAATTACTCCTAGAATATTCTCTTTATGAATTATTTGTGAGTAAGAACAATATACTGGCGCACAAGCTTTATAAAAATATTCATATGATAAAGAAGGATTCCATTGTTCAACCATCATTTCTTTCATAATTATTGAAATTGATGTATTCGGAGGAAAATGACTCATTTTTGAATTATAAACCAGAGGTGCTATACGAAGCGATGATGATTGAAGATTCGCAGTAGCATCCGTCAGTCCGTATACATAACTTAATAAAAGTGGAAAACAACTTGAATCAATATATAAACATTGAAATGTTGAAAATTGAAGAGAATCAATAGCAAGACAACCTTGAATCCATCCAGACACATTATAAATGAGATTAATATCGTTATTAGATATATAATCATAAGCGTTATCATAAATAACGGCTTGACTTTGACAATATGGATTCATATTACAAGCGCATTTGATTAACGTTGGACTAACCGCGATAAGTTCGTGTTGAATAAATTGAACCTACAAATAAATTTGTTTAGATTTATATTTCAATAGCAATCAATCAACGCAGATAAAGCTCAACTTTTCATTTTCTCATAACACTGAATGGAATGACTATTTTATAATTTATTATTCCAAAAAAGTTACATACTTGTTGCGTTGTAATATTATTTGTTTCATTTGTTATTACATTTGCAATCAGTTTAGTGTCAAAATTGTATAAGAATGGATTTTTGAATGATCCAGAATAAAATTGATCAACTTGCATAGTTAAATATACAACTTTTTTCAAAAGATCAAAATTGTAGAGTGTTGATCGATAAAATTGGTTGATAGTTGCATTAAGTTGTTTATCAAAGTCAGTTTTATTCACAACAGTAGAAGCAATAAAGACTTGTGAAAGAAATCTATCAACAGCTTCATTAATTGTTGTATTAGACAACCGACAAAAATCCGATATTAATTGAAAATTTTTATATGCTTGATTTCGCCAATCATTATCATTGGCGATGTTTGAACTGCTTTTTAATAATATAATCCAATCTTCGTGAACAAAACCACTTGAACATATTTGATGAAATGTTGGAGAAAAAGACATAAATACTCGATGAGATATTGTTTTATTTGAACATGGACATTGAACTGTAGTTAAATAGATATTTTCTAATGATTCATACGTTGTCATTGAAGGATTTGATACTGTTATTGTTATAATTTCCTTACTTAATATCGTATAGAGACAGACACAACATATCAAACCTAATTTAGGAGAAAAAAACACTGAAGAAAATAAAAAGATGTAGAGTGAGAATAATTTTACCAAATAGTAGGATCAAATAAACACGAGTGATAATTCTTTGTTGTTTAATACTTATTTCTGTTCGATCATGAATATTTTTAAATAAATTTAAATGCTTTAATGATTGAATTGGTTCGAATGTATTTATATTTCGATGATCTATAGATGGAAATAAAAAAATTTGTTATTATCAATGACAGCCTTTAGTTCGTGTTACTTGAATATTTTTGAAATTTAAAGAAAATATCAATGAAATATGATGCAACTAAACGAAGTATAATGATAAGACCACCATAAAGACTAATAAAAAGAGTAATTGCATATGATAGAGCTACTCGATTTTGTATTGTGTATGTACATAATGATGGAGAACATTGATCAAAATATATCGGATAATTCGTTTCTATTGACCAGTTTTGAATAAACAGAGTATTTATATAATTGATTACAGAAATATTTTCATGTTTTGATGTTAAGATCGAATTGTTCCAATCTATGTTTGTCTAAAAACAAAGACAATAAATGAACAATTATTGAATGATACTATACACACTCGGTTTAGTTCTGGAAAATATTTCAACCATATTTGAAGACATTCATTTTCGTATAAACACTCTAATGTACTTTGAAGGAATGCTTCAAGAGGAGTACATCCTGTAAAAAAGCCTTTGACAATTGTAGAATTAGGTAATGCTTGCAGACGAGTTCTTTGAAAAAAACTTATTGAAGTGTTTGATAACGGAGAAAGCGTAGCTGCAATTATCAAATTTCTTGCGCTGCAGGATATAAAGCTAACAGGATTCGTGAAAATTTTTACTGCGGCTCCAGTCGTCAAAGAAATCCATTGATTGTATTTAATTAATTGAATTAACCAATTAGTACCAAGGCCTGTAACCAGATAATCACCTTGTATCGTCGTTCTCAAATAATTCAAAAATGACATCATTTGACTAAAGGCATTATTTTTCTGAATTGCAGTGATACCATCTAATTCTAATTGAACTTGCGTTTCAGAAAGAAGTTCAATGCTAATTAAATCAGTATTATTAAGATTTGTTCGAATTTTGGAAATCATTTCTCTCGAAAGTGAACAAAACTTTGAAAGAATTTTAAACTAAATGAGAAAATAAATTCTATCGATAAATAATAATTTTGACAAACCTGAGAAAATGCCGTTGCCCGAAAATCAAAAACACCATAGAGACTAGCATTTGCAAAATATAATCTTTCAATCCATTGTTCATCAACAAAAATACTCGAACAAACAGGGTGCATTGTAACATTATTAAAAACGAAATTTCTATATGGTATTGTAATTGTTTTACATGGACATGAAAGAGTCTCACCGTGTTCAAATGATAACTGTCTGAAAAGATCAGGCGTTATATTGGAAATAACCGCCGTTTTCGATTCTATTTTGATCAAAGTAACATAGAATAGTACATAAAGACAAACTTAAATAAAGAATAAAATGATCTTAAGAATAAGAAAAACATATATTATATAATATGTTTACTTGAAAGAAGTACGACGTATAACCAAGTTTTATATTTTTGATGTTTGAGTGCAACAGCTGGATCGTTGATAACAACATCAACATCATCATCATAATCATGTTCTTCTAACATAAAAAGATTATACTGAAGTCCTTTGGTATAAATCCATTTAACAGAAGTTTTCAAATTCATGATATTCCGTTTATCTTGATACTTCAAAAATGAATGATATACTTTGATCTAAAATAAAAATATCTCCTTCTATAAGAAGTTGCACTAATATGTGATATCAGTCAGTAAGTCATAAGCTGCATTTATGATCAAGTGATCTGATAAATACAAGATTAAGAAACGTTTTAATCTAATATCACACAAAAAGAGAAAGCATAAAAAAGTTAAGCTACTTCAAAGATTTCTTACAGAAATTGTAACAGAAATTTCTTTAAACTTTAATGACAACTGTGATGCTGAATATCTTGAGTTTTTATACTTCATCAATTATGTGGAAAATATAATAGATTACAAAGAAAAAGAAAAACTATGCATTCTCTCCGGGAAAATATTCTAGTCTGGTTTCTCAGCTAGTTTTCTAATCATATTCTGATGATACTTTACATAAAATATCTATTTGCTTAACAATCTAATTTAATATTTCTACGCAATATTTTTTTTATTATTATTGATAAAATATTAAGGAAATTACCAAACACAAGAAAAGAACATTTTGATCCTAAAATAAAGCAGGAACATTTTGACGGAAAATGTCCTTCACAAACAAATTTACATTTTGTTTTGAAAAAGAGTGTACTACAGGATATAGATTCAACCTACACATTCTAAAATAGGAATTTGTTTTTTCCTACTCGTACAGATTGAGCTAACCTTCGTGTCGAACAAACATAAGAGGTAACGATATGGAATACAAAATCTCCTCAGCTTTACATATTACTGGACTTGCCTATTTTTTCATCGACATATGATTAAAAAAATAGAATCCATAATTCTTGTATAGTAACTAACTGATTTTGACATAGAAATGTATCAGTGTGCAGAGAACAGTTAAATAAATAAGTTCATCGATAATTTAATTTTTCACAGAGATAACTCAGCAAAGCTTTTCATAGTTTTTTCAACATAATTTTTAACATTAAAGTTTATTGAAAAAGCTTTTTTTGTAGTTTCGATAACTATTTTTGTTCTCTTTCTAGTATTTTCTTGAACCACGCACTGTGATGACGCCATACAAGCCTTCTTCTTAGCGCATTCTTTAAGAAAGTATTAGAGAAAAAACAGAAGTAATCATTCAACTAGTGTTACAAATTATGTTGAAAAGGTTTGGAAAGCTTCCCTGAGTTAGCTTTGTGAAAAATTAATTCATAGATGAACTTAGTCGCTAAGTTATTTCTCTATTCAATTGCATTTCATCAAACAATATTAACAAGTAACCCTCGGCTGACCGATTTGAATTAAATGTTTTAGTTGCTGAAATCATCCATAATAATTTCGTTTCTACTAATACAGCTCGTCGTAGTCCTCTTTCACTTGATCATTTCATATGACAATTCATCGGAAAATTTAAAAAAATATTCTAATTCTAACTGCAATTGAGAATGTTTGTTCAATAACTTACACGAATCAACTGCACAATAAAAATTTATTTTATATTCGATTGACACAAATGCGAATAAACATAAAAATAAATATCTATGAAATTTTCACAACATCATCAAAAAGTACGAACAAATCTAGTTAAATGAATATTTGAGCATAGATATTTCGTAACTTTATGAATTATAGTGAAACTCATGAGGAATTCATATTGTTCATCGCAAAACTACACAGAAGTGATCAAAAATCGTCTTATTACATGTAAGATTTATTGAAGCAATTCTGGAAAATGTGATCGTGTGTTTATATACAATTGATCAAATCTTTCGATTTCAGCAACTTGAGATTTATTTGTTTTCAGAAGTAAAACAAGCCAAAAAAACGGATGAACAATACTAGATCTAGATTTATAATCCATCATTACGGATGTTTTTCGATGAGTTCTTACAAGTAAGTTACTTGTACAACTTTGCGTAATTCGTGTATTAATCAGTCGACCGCAGACTTATAAACAATCATATAGGCGGCCAAGTTATTTTTCTGATCTTTTCTGCATCTGATAGAGAAGGACGTTTGCCGGTATATGGCATATTTTTATCGAATATTTCGCACGTCTTTAAACCCATCTTCTATGACGTTACTTTTACCCGTCTCCCCCTACCCCCGCAAATCAACGCATACCCTCAAGACCCTCTCCAGATGACGTTTTATCAAGTTTTGCTCATTTTCAAAAAAAATGTATTTTTCATCTTTGACCTTTGACCCTGACAGCCACAAACAAACATATAAACTTTTTTTTCATATGACCCTTCTTTCAGGCGAGGGAACATCTCAAGAGTTTAGTCGAGCTATTCAAAGAACTCCAATCGATTTTAATTAAATTATCAATTCATGTTAATGCTTGATTCTAGCTTATTCAATCAAAGTCTAATATTCATTCAATGTTCCTCAATTTAACACAATCCACTCTGGCCAATTTTATTCAATATCTCGATCTAATTTATTCGGTGTATTGAAGTTGAGTTGATGTATCAAGGAATAATCATTCCATTTATTCAAATTGGTTATTTAATTTAATCGTTCAATCTTTCTACTCAGTGAATTGTGTTGTTACTCTAGTAAAATAAATCTTTTTAAGGTGCTTACCTGACGATGATGCGTGATCAACATTGAAAGCTCGTAACAATATGGAAAAACTTCTTCTTCATTTTTTACTTCATCTTTCGTCTTGATATATGGGGATGATTCGCCATATTTTAGTATATACTTTTGTCACGAAAAATGTTGTATAGGGCGTTCTATTCCACGGAATAACCGTATAGAAGGTTTTGTAGAGAATTGAATGCTGTACACGATGCACTACAAAAGAGTTCTCACTTTTTAGAATCCGCAATGAAATAAAACAAACAATGATCTTTTTGACGTTTCTAGTATCAGACACTATCCATTAAGATTATCTTCTTCATCCAAAATTATTTCGTCACCATAGCATAGATATAGTACAGTTTGTAGAGTTCTTAATTCTGTACATTTTCATATAAAAATATTGCCAGTTACACCTTGTCTTTGCACAGATATGTTTAAAATACTTTTTGAAGGAGAAAAATACAACTTTTCCTTTGTGTTTTTTTTTTCAGAAAATCCGTTGAAAAATAGCATTTCACCGTTTTTTCTATTTTAATACCAAAATTTAAAGTAAAATAGCCATTTAACAAATCAGGTTGAACAAAAAACACTTGCAAAAATATATATTGAACACCCTTCGCATGATCATATTACGATCTTCAAACTGACCTAATAATAGAGTGAAAATATATATTCAACTATTTCTTTTATTCTCAAAATAAGTACAATAATTTGTTACACATGAATCATGATAACCAAAAATTTTGGTTTGCTTTTATTTAAAGGTTTCGGCCGTACAGATAATAGAAGTTTTGTAATCCATTGAGCCATATTACTGAGACATTCTGCATCATAAAAAACATTTGAGTGTGCTCACAATCAAAGCATCATATGGAAAACATCCAATACACATTCTAGTAATGATGAATATTTGTGTGTAATGCGAAATACATTTGGTTCTGTTCGATAAATAATGTGGCGAGACTAACTGTACGATTACATGTAACTCCAAATTCAGCTTCTGAATTTAACCTTTCCGAGAAATCATTCACTTGAGTATTGAGAGATAATCCAGTAATAACGTGAGACGTAATAAATCGAATGTTTTGTCTGATCTCAACACATCATTGCCAGTAAACGGAATGATGTAGCTGCTGTAAGACGAGAATACAATAGAGTCATCCGTGTTATTTCTGCAACAAATAACGATTCAATTCATACCAAAGGTATTAGTGTGCTTGAACATATATAAATACAAACAAGAAACTAGAAGATAACGATAGAGAAGTATTAACTTGATGATATAGTATTATTTCAATAGACAAGATCCGATAGTATGGTATACTAACATAATTGCAAACGCATGAAATTATATTATCATGTTTTTCTTGAAGTTTTCTATAAGTTTTAAACGAAAATTTTTCGCTGGTTATATAGGTATTTACTTTAATAATGCTAGTAAATAATTTAAGAATTAGGATATTTATCGATAGAAGAAGTATATAAAGACGTGTTCTGAACAATTGATCATGTAATGCTTTTTTATTATTTGACCTATTATCAGCAAATAAGTATAATTACCATAGTTTTTATAATATAAAACGAATTGTTTTTCTAATTCTTTTAAATAAATGAAAATGATCTGTAAACGTGCAAAAAAAGAGTTTTTTTTTGCGTACTAAGAATAAATGCAATTATATGATAGTACCTTTTTTCTTAAGAATGGCATTTATTTCAAATAGTTATATTCATCTCCGAAACTGAAAAAAAGTGCGCAATATACGTAGTAAATAATTGTTAAAATTTTCCAACTTTTTTTTATTAAAATAAATCTGTGTAAATGAAATAACTCTAAAGACGCTGCAATACAAGTTATAATATGGTCATTACAATGTTCGAAACATTCTGCAGATAGATATGCGTGTAGCTTTGAGATTGACATTTAAACAACATGAAATATGCCATATTTTATCTTTTAGATTCTTCTTTCTGCCACCATTAGGTTTGGATTGACAGGCAATACATGATTTGATCGTTTGCAACAACAACAAAAACAACGTTTGACTTGTTGACGAAATGTTTGTGAAACAATCAGAAATATATAAAAAGTGCTCTTTGAAGAAAGAAAGAAAGAAAACTAATTATTAAAATGATGAAAAATATTTATTATCTTACTTACACCATAAAAGAAAGCAGTGAAAGTATTGAGAGCATTAAAAATAAAATAATCACTATTTTTTTCTGCTGCCTCGTCTAAGGATATTGCTGATGATGAATATACAAAGTAAAATGTACCGGGTATAATAGGAACAATAGTTGCAACAATTTGTCCAAAAACCATATAATTAGCTTGATAATCGATTCTTTGAAGTTGACGTCTAGCTTTTAAAGTACGTATATTTCGATATGTAAGAATACCGAATAGAACACAAATACTCATTGGAGCTATTGCAAAGAAAAGCCAATTATTTACATAAACAGAATAAGCATCCCAAAAATCATTGTGAATAGAACAAATGCTCGAACTAAGGAATGTTTTAGAAATGTCTGAGAAAGTTAGAATAACTTAAATTTTAACTAACCTTATATCAGCAAAAATGAAGTATGGTATATTTTGAAGTAACCAGAAAGTTACTACACCAATACCAATACGATGACTCCATCTAATACTACTCAAGCGTCGTAATTTAGCAGACCTGGATGTAACTAAAAATGGATCAATTGCTGCCAAACATTCACATGTCACTGCAATGCCAAAACCACTATTAACTACATAATATCTCGTTTTACACCATAGAAGTGAAGCGCATGTTACGTCTATGTGGAAGACAACACCAAGGCCACGCGACAATCCTATAGTAAAAAGATGTATAAATCGAGTAATTGCTGAGATAAGCAGAAAGAATGTGCTTGGTTGAGATCGATACATAGGATTAGTTAAAAATATGATTGAATTTATCATAGAACCAAATAAACCGAGACTCAGTGTTGCAGAACCAATATAGAGCACGAATATTTGAGTTAAATAATACCATGATACCATGATGCATTCGATTTTTACTCAATCTATCAATATTAAATCTTGTTTGTATACTTCTAAAAGAAATTGTTATATATATATATATACTCGCATTATAGAAGTCCTTAGAATTCTCAAGTAACGCACTAGCTGCCTAATTCTTTATCTATTTTTATTCAGACACTTTTTTACACAGAGTTTTTCATAATTTGTCGTCCACAAAAAACCATTTCTGTGGAAAATCATTGAATTATATTGCCATTTAGGTGTATTAATAGGTTCTTTCCATGATATTTCATACTTAAAACACTAAATTAGTAAGAAGTGATGATAAACAACAGAAAGATAAAATTATTTATCAACCCAAGTAAACACCAAACGCAGAAGGACACGTTCAAATGCGTTTCAGTCCGTTTGCTTTAGTAGTTCAGATCAAGTTTCTCTCGGAAAATACTACGTATCTACATTTTTTAATTTATATTGATAGTTTTTTAAATGAAAATACTTTTGAATTAAAAACTCTTGATGTTAGGTCGAATTCAGAATAAGTAGGTAGAAATCATCATTGGTTTATTGTTAGAAAATATTTTTCAACTACCAATTCATATAGCTGTAGCCAAAAAAAACTTGCACAAAATCTAAAACTACGTAGTTTTTTTTCATATGACTCTCCTTTCAGTCAAGGGAATTTTGAAACTCGAGATTTTTAGAATAACGAGACAAAACAATGCTGTGTTGCTCATAATCTCAGTGATTAACGAAACAAATCGTCGATGAAACGGAAAAGAAATATTATAAAAGATGACGCCATCGATTGAAGCAGCGTATCGTGTGCTCGATATTTCAAAGGTTTTCTTCATAGATCAGGATGACGACATGTTCTTTACAACGCTCCGCGAAATGAATCTCAAAAACATCACATTATATGTAGACGAGAAAAGATTGAAAGATTCCTTATTTACTATCGACAGAGATGCTGGACTTGATCTAAAAGAATCAAATCCAACACCAACAGATTTGGAATCTCTTATCGAATACGCCAATGAACTTCTACTACCACTTGCAGAAGCATGTATTTCATTGGATGGTATTGTTCATAATCTATCGTTCTACATCCAAATGGCAGTTGAAGAAACACCAAAAGAACCATCAGATAACTTAACAATTGATGAAAATACAGCCATTCGTCTGTATTCAGTTGAATGGACAGCACCTCATCGTAGTCTTGATTCAATGCTCAATTATACATTACAAACATGTTCTCGTTCTGAACTTCAACCTTATTTCAAACATATAAAACTTTTCCTCATTCCTCTCACTAAATTACTATATATTCCACCATTGACTGTGTGGAGAAGTATGGTGAAAAATTTAAGCGCAGACTTCTTTCCTGGTACACCAGTGACATGGTGGGAAGATAATATGTAACTGGGCAGTGAAGGTGCTCGAACATAGTTTTCTGTTGAAGCCATCAATGATCGAACAACACGTGCTCATTCACATTTCGTTACCTAAGAAGAAATATTTCTTCTACCTGGTACTCATATGATTGTCCAATCACTAATTACTTGCGCTTCCCTTTGAAGGTACTGTTCATATTATCCCTGCAATATAACTATTTCGATGTTTACGTGCCAATCTATTTCCAAAGATTGAATAAGTCTGATTATTGGAACATGTGAGCGTATTGTTGAATATTTCGTAGACTATCTTGGTATCACAAGAGGAGATGTATGTTTCCAATGTGCTTTGTCATATTCATGGCATTGATGGGAACCGTAGTTGGCGTCGTACTTGGTTTAAGAGCTGCAAACAAAACATCAGGTACGGTTTTAAATATTTTTCTGAAGTCGAAAGCGAAGCAAAGCAATAGTCGGTAGTTTTCCAGAAAAGATCACAGATAAAATAAATAACTTTGTTCAATAAAGATAGTAAGACTAGCCTTGCAGTTGCCAATGTACGTATGTTTCAAGATTAGTTAGTTCTTTTATCTATGATTAAATAAAGATTTCTGTCTTTTCTGTATTAACGATAAAGAGTACAAATTACTCTTTAAAGTGGAGCATTTTTGCGTTTCCACCTATTAATAAGACAATGAATATTCCTTGCTTGAAAACTATATAGAGTATTTGATATATTTTTCCTTCTAATTTGACTTCTGTTGGCTGCATCCTTCAAGATTTATATAAAGTTTAAGAATCAATTTACAAGGAAATGGTAAGATTCATCTACAAATAAATGGAAGAACATCACTCATATAAATAAGTGTTATTTAAAGATTTTTTTAAAGAAATTTTCTATTTGACGATATTCAAGATTTCTTTGAAGGTTTAAATCAATAATTATTTGAGTTTCTAAACTAATACATGGACATGAAACATTCTGTTAATACATAGACAGTACTTTCAATTGAAATTATATTACGGACAATAAATCCTTATCTTTACTGTTATTTCACCGACATTTTCTTTCTTTACTGACAGCAAATTTTCATTAATCATTCGTCAGATCATGACTCATGGGTATTTTCTACCTGTATTCTCGTTATTTCTCAAGAATGACTCTGTTTTTTCATGCTTTTCTCCTTTTTTTAGAATGGCTTATTCCTATCGTTGATCATATATATATATAGTCGACGTTGTTGTTCCGACAAACTGCTATTTATCTTACTTCCGCTGTACATTCCAAATCATGTCAACATTTAAAAGCAATCGAGACACACCTATTTGGGCAGCTAACAAAGAGGAAAATTACTTTCGTGAACGTGACATTCAACTAATTAATCAACGAGGTCCTACCTGTGTGTCTACGTGTTTAGCTATGCTTACTGGCAAAAGACCTGAAGATTTTCAAGGTAATATCAATACACAAGATCCCGTTACATGGTCAGCTGCTTTGCATCCGTATGGAATGAAATTAGCTTATTGTCCTCATGATGCGCGAAAATTGAAGTTTTACATCGACGAACTCATCGCTCTAGATGATTTATTTGGTCTCAGCTTCTATACTACGAACGATCCAGAACAGATTTTGAATGATCCAGACAGTACTGGTTTCGTAACTCAATCTCATTTCATATTGTTACATCGAGATAAGATCTATGATTCAGCAGGTTTTGGATGTGGTTTGGCACGTGATCATTATTGTCTCGAACATCACACGAAGCGCATTTTTCGAGTACTTCCTGTTGAACATAATCGTGGTCTTTGATTTTTAAGAGTTCACATCATTTTTGAATTCTGCCTTCATTGAATTGTACAACTTATTCAGATTGATAAATATGGAAATCTTGAATTCGAATATAAATGAGCTGTAAATTCATTCAATCATAATTATATCATAGTTTGAATTGAGATAACATTGAGAAGAGGTAATTATCGATTCTAGGCAGTAATAATGTCTTGTATATTAAAGTTATTTAAGAGTATAACGTCTAATCATTATACTTGAGCACATGCCGTACTCTATTTTAAAATTAAACAATCATTTTCGAGAGCAATAAACTCATCGAATGATTTTTGTTCAACTTTTTAAAAGCCTCATCAATATCACGAAAACTGTAACATGTTTAAATCGACGTTTTGTTATCGTAGGAATTTTATAAAAGCTAAAAGCTTTTGAAGAAGAAGATCACTATCATCTTGTGGTGTTGAAATCAGAATCTTCTGATATAACATGTTGATCAATTTCATCTTCATTTTGCATTTCACAAAGATGTTATTGAACATCGTCTAGAATGTAGATCTACTAATATAATCCGTTTATTTCATGGAAATAGTTCTCTATCGCTACCACCGATATTGACAACCATCGAATCCAAAAATTTGATTTATTATCATAATAAAAACTCAAGTAAAGGAAAGAAAATTTGGATTCAATTTCAAATAATCTTCAAATGAAATCTTTTTTCTCAATTTTTATTCTAGTAACCGAACTAATAATGAATAAATAGAAAATGTATTCAATTTTAACTTTAATGCATCAATCGAATTCGATTGAAAAAAACGATATAAAATATCTCTAAAGGTATGGCGAAATATCGAAAAGGATAATGTGTATAAATAAAATGAAATACAATGAGAGAAACCCACAACAAATACGATACAAGAAGAAATCCAGTTTTCAATGGCGACACGATATGTACTTTTAACAATATCTGATGTTAGACTTGTGTACAGACATCGCATTCCAAAAGGTAAACCCAAACCAAGAACTACAAACACCTGAAAATATCAGGATTTTCTTTTCTATTCCAATGGAACAGCAGAATAAAAGTTATTTGAATCAATAACATTCCAGGAATGTAATGATCATTCTGTCTCACTATTATCTTATTATTGTTTTTATTTTCGTAAAGCACTATTTGATGAATTTGTCTTGCTCGAATATTTCGAATTGTCAATGTACCAAAAATCGCTAAGGAAATACTTGGTAAAATAATATCAGATAGTAAAACAATTCAATCATTACATAATTGACAGGGAAGATTTTGACTATAGCAAACAACCGTTTTGCCATTTTATTTGTACTTAATTGATGACATTTGAACGAATAACAATTATATAAAAATGGATCAATATTTCCTCCTAGAAGACATCAAGTGCTCATTGGCCAGGAAATATTTACAAAAAGTTGACGAATTTTACAAGTCTCCGAATTTTAATCAGGTCAACTAACATTATAACTAAAATTAAAACGGAAAGATAAGCAAATTCCTATCTTTTCTATTTATAATTTCACCTTGAAGAACTCATCTTCAAAATCCCAACCGAATATATATTAAACTTGATACTGAAGACCAGGAAAGATATATTGAACATGGATTTTGAGACGAACGTTCATTTAACACAAAAATATTGAGTAAATTATCTACAGTACCGAATAATAACCGAAATGTAGTTACATAATTAATTAGTTCACTGTCATTTGACATTGTAACTGTTTTTTTATTCTTTACATAATTTTCCAATAATAACACATGCTTATATATAAGCAAAAGAGAAGAGTAAGAGTAAAAAGAGATTTTTAACATTGTATATAAAAATAATGGCCATAATAATTAATATTCTCTCAAACTGAAAAAAAGAATCTGTTTAGTATTACTTTTGATTTTGAATTTGCGTTATTTTCATGCATCGGTAAAGCACGAAACGCCCGATGTCTCATAGGATACAATTATTATTTGACAAAGCGCGGCTTTCAACGAATTTACATCGATGAGTTTGCTTCAGCAACTATTGTATTATTTCAATAATGAACTATAACGAGTCACACGTGTAGTCGACATCTGAGAGTTGAAAAAGTTTCGCCTAATTTTGTTAATATAATATTTATTATATTTTCTATTATTTCAATAACGAACATTGAGATAGAATTAATGACTGCATGTAAATGTAATACTTCATTAGATGAATTCAACATGATTTTATTTTATATATACAAAAAATTAATAAACAGAAAACATTCTGAATTGATAAAGAGACTTGAAGACGAAATAGAGCCCAAATCTGGAGAAAAGGGAAATATATAAGATTGAATTATTATTTTTCTGTGTTAGTTCATTTAATATTCTTTGAATAAATATTTCTATTTTAGATTCGTTTGAAAATCGTGAACCTTCTTATTTCTGATATTTTTGCAAATTTTCACATCTACTACAAAACCTTTTCGTTTGAATAAGTATGATAAAATAGAGCGAAGGCCATCAATATTTATAATAATCAACGCAAATATTATGACGATGTAAATAGCTTATCGCAGCTATGAACGAATCAGCGTGACGTGACAAAACATAATAAATGAGAGGGGAAAAGAGAACTGAATCAGTATGACGAAGCTTTCTTGTTTGTTTGTATAAATAGGGAATATATTATTTACATTCGCTAACAATCTTGATATACACGTATCAAAAGTTAATGGGTAAACTCGATGGAAAAATTGCTCTTGTTACAGGTGGTTCAACTGGTATTGGATTTGCTACTGCACAACAATTTCTTATTGAAGGTGTAGAACATGTATTTATTACTGGACGGCGTCAACAAGCACTCGATGATGCTATCAAAAAATTAAATAGAAAAAATGTGACAGCAATTCAAAGTGATACATCAAATATGAATGATCTCGATAAATTATATAGCGTAATTAAAAAGGAAAAAGGTCATTTAGATATACTCTTCGCCAATGCTGGTGCAGCTCAATTTATACCACTTGATTCAGTTACTGAAAAAGATTTTGATGATACATTTAATACTAATGTTAAAGGAGTGTTATTTACTGTTCAAAAAGCATTACCAATTTTCAATGATGGAGGATCAATAATCTTGAATGCTTCGATTTCTTCTATCAAAGCCAGTCCAGCGTGTAGTGTTTATTCTGCTACAAAGGCAGCTGTTCGATCTTTTGCCAGATGTTGGACTGTTGATCTAAAAGAACGCAAAATTCGGGTTAATACCATAAGTCCGGGTCCAGTCGATACACCAGGATTTCGTGGTGCAGTTAAGAGTGGAGGAGAAAAAGAAGAAAAGGCACTTGTTACTCAACTAGTCTCTGCTGTACCTATGAATCGTCTTGGTATGCCTGAAGAAATCGCCAAAGCAGTAGTTTTTCTTGCTTCAGACGATAGCAGTTATGTTACTGGTATTGAACTCTTTGTCGATGGAGGTGCAGCACAAATTTAAACTTCGGAAAATTTTTAATAAAAAAATAATTCAAATATTAATGATTTGAACTAGTAGAAGTACAATTGAAACTGAATGAGTATATCTAAGTAAGGGTGGTGAGGGTGGGATGAAAAATCTTTATGATTGGAGCCAATAGAGCTCGTCGAGTTTGATCTGGAACCTGTGTTAGTTTGATTGGAACCTACGCTGAAACGAATCGGGTCAAGAAAATGTCGAATCCTGCACGAAGGTATCCTACGTTCATAAACGAGTTCTATGTTTAAATGGAAACATAACTATCATAAAAAAATCAGTTTTGTTCCCTCTACTGAAAGGAGGGTTATGCGTCGAGCAGGTATTACAAAAAAACGAGTTGATGTTGGTTTGTCGGTTTGTTGGTTTGTTGGTTTGTTGGTTCGTTCTTTCACATCACTGTTCGATAGTGACTATTCAGTGACCCTCAGTGGAGAACGAAGTTTGACCGGANAATATTATTGAATATAGAATCGAAGTCTTCCCAAAAGTCTAATTTATTACACATTCGCATGTATTTAAGAAGATGTCTATGTAATTGGTATAAGTATTTATACTAATTATATCTTGACAATTATCATTATTGAAATCGGCAATATCAGTCCATATTTCATAATTAGAAAGATCATTTGAATAGATATTGTATATTTGGAATTTTCCATTTTCATTGCCAAGTAAACCATAAATTTCATATTGCGTAGTTGTTCCAATAACTATATCTAAATATTTATCACCATTCAAATCGCCTACAACAGTTGAGCCCAATAGTATCGACGATCCCATAAATTTTTGCTCATTAGCATAAAATGTATCATTATTATTTCGAAATAACATGCATGTCATATACTCCCAATTATAAAGAAAAGCAATATCAGCTAGATTATTGCTATCGAAATCACCTGCTACTACACCAAATTGGTCAACATTGAATGCAGTGAAAAACCATTTCTGTGGCTGATAACTTCCATTAGTATCTGCATAAAAAACATGAATATGACGACTATGTTCATTCACTACAGCAATATCTAAATGAGTATCATTGTTAAAATCAACAACAAATAAACTTGATGAGGATGCCCAATGTTCTATAAACAACGTTGACTGGAATAGAAAGGTTCCATTAGTATCTGCCAAATATATGTATACATAATCTTCAAGATCAATTATAATGATAATGTCTAACAGTTCATCATGATTAAGATCAACTATAACGATATGACGAGGAGAACCCTCAATAGCTACGGACTGCATATCTTGTGTACGAAACGTACCATTTCCAACGCCGAATAAAATATTAATTTCTGAGTATAGCGCTAAAATGAGATCAACTTGTCCATCATTATTCATATCATGAACGCGAATATGATATGGCCAAATATCAACATCAAAAATAACTGTCATCGCTGTTTCAAATGTACTATTGTCATCTCCAAGTAAAATATGTATTGTTCGATCATCTTGACAAAGAAATATTATATCAACTTTATTATCAGAATTTATATCAGCAATAACGCTTGGTGCTAACATAATCGATTGACATGAAACATTAATTGATAATTGATCAAATGCAGGTTGACATAATAATGGTTCTAAAAAGAGAGACTAATTCATACTTTTTTCAAATGTTATATGAACGGACCTGATGTGTTCGACGATGCCGGTACAGTTGTGACTATTGTTGTATTAAAAGCATTGATCGTTGTTATATTTGTCGTTGAGTCTATTTGACAAATATTCAATAATTATTTCACGTAAAATCGCTAAAAATATTAGAAATTTTATTCTTACTTTGTCTTGAATAATATATTGAAAATAAAATGGCACCTACTAATATGCATATTAATGGTGCAATGACACATATGATCTTCAAAAACGATGGACTACGTGGCAATCGTGTGTTCATTAGTGCTATATCATTATTCCAAGTTGTATGCTGATTCATTGGATTTGCACATGGAGGAGGTAGCATTTCAATACGAAGAGGATTGATTCGTCTCTTTCGATGGTAATAAATCTTTGAACCAATTCGAACGAGTTTTGGACAAATCCATTTCAGGACAATCGTTAAACCGCCCTGAATTCCAAGTATAATACTAATTGTGTAAAATATATCAAATCTTCCAATAGTTGTATAGGAACATACGGAAGGTAAACATTGTTGATAATATAATGAATAATTAATTTGGGTTGACCATTGTTCAACAAATAAATCCTGGACAAGTTCTTCTATTGTTGTATTCTGAGAAAATCGACTAGCACTTGTTGTTTTCGATGAAAGAGCAGTTAAAGAATATGAATAGTTTGTATATTGTTGAAGAAGATCAAGACATGATTGATCATAGAAACATTCAAGAGTCGAACGTAGAAAAGACTGGCTTGGTGTGCAACCCATTTTCATGCCTTTGATCAACATTTTTGTTGATTTCGTTTCAAGAATATTTGCTTGAGTTGTACAATTCGGAGACAATCCACATGAACAATTATCATCGTAAATAATAGGTTCCGTATACGCAAAAACTTCCCTAGGGCTATTTGATAATGCACTATATTTGTAATTTGTTCCATAAGTTGATATTATAGCATTTCCATGGAAAATACTTTGAGTGAAAAGGAGAAGACGAGTAAATAAGATAGGAGCACTAGATTTACTCTGTTCTACTAAAATCTTCAGTCGATTTTCAAAATTAGTGTTTGATAGAAGATCAACAGTAACTAATAGCGATGTTAGAAATTCATTAATCGAATTATTGACTGCTTGTTGTGAAAGTTGACACAATCCTTGAAGATACTGTAAATGAGGCGAAAGAAATCGACGGTAATCACTTTGTTCATAAATAGTTAAATTAGGATTAAGACCATTGACTAAATCTAGTTGCCTTTCTTTTACAACAAATTCACTTTTACATATCTAAACATAATTATCAAGAACATTTAGGAATATATTAATTAAAACTACTGCAATTTTCGTTTCTATTTTTTCAACAAACTCTATCTTACCGGGTGAAATAATGGTTCGATTTGGGCAAATTGATTATATGTTGATGCTATTTTTGAACATGTGCATCTTAATTCATCAGCATAAATTTTTCTCAAATGATTATAATAAATGAAAGATGGTTTATTAAAATTTTTAGTCAATGTGTGCGGTTGAATAATTGTATAAAATATAAGAATAGTAAGACCACTTAGAAATAAGATAAAATAAAGACGAGTTGCCCATTGACCATAACGCTTTGCTGTTATTCGATCAACATCACTTCCGAGATCGCGTGATGTAAATATATTCATTTCAACTAATGTAGTACGTATAAGTTTTATTAAATTCTTTATCATAGTTTTCAATCGACTGGTATGAACAGAATGAACTAAAATAAAAACAAAATATTGATACTATGAGAAAATCTTTTATTTTTATTAATGAAGATTCAAAATATAAAATGAAATATGTATATTTTTTTAAGAACTTCCGTCCAATTACCTTGTTCAGTTTTTTTCTTGAATGTTTTCGAAAATCCCAAAATAAACTTCACTAAATGAGGTGTTAAAATACGTAATGAGACAACAATACCACCAATCATTGATATTAGTTTAACAATTACTCCAAGAAAATTCTCTTTATGAATTATTTGTGAATAAGAACAATATACTGGCGCACAAGCTTGATAAAAATATTCATATGATAGAGAAGGATTCCATTGTTCAACCATCATTTCTTTCATGATTATTGAAATTGATGTGTTGGGAGGAAAATGACTCATTGCCGAATTATAAACCAAAGGTTCTATACGAAGTGATGATGATCGAAGATTCGCAGTAGCATCATTCAGTCCGTATACATAACTTAATAAAAGTGGAAAACAACTTGAATCAATATATAAACATTGAAATGTTGATAATTGAAGAGAATCAATAGCAAGACAACCTTGAATCCATCCAGATATATTATAAATGAGATTAATATCATTATTAGATATATAATCATAAGCGTTGTCATAAATAACGGCTTGACTTTGACAATATGAATTCATATTACAAGCGCATTCGATCAACGTTGGATTAACCCCGATAATTTCGTGTTGAATAAATTGAACCTACAAATGAATTTGTTTGGATTTATATTTCAAAAGCAATCAATCAATGTAGATAAAGCTCAATGTTTCATTCTCTCATACTATTGAATGGAATGACTATTTTATAATTTATTATTCTGAAAAAATTACATACTTGTTGCGTTGTGATATTATTTGTTTCATTTGTTATTACATTTGCAACAAGTCTAGTGTCAAAATTGTATAAGAATGTATTTTTGAATGATCCGGAATAAAGTTGATCAACTTGCATAGTAAGATATACTACCTCTTTCAAAAGATCAAAATTGTAAAGTGTTGATCGATAAAATTGATTGATACTTGCATTAAATTGTTTATCAAAGTCAGTTTTATTCATAATAGTAGAAGCAATAAAGACTTGTGAAAGAAATCTATCAACAGCTTCCTTAATTGTTGTATTAGATAATCGACAAAAATCCGATATTAATTGAAAATTTTTATATGCTTGATTTCGCCAATCATTGTCATTGGCGATGTTTGAACTGGTTTTTAATAATATAATCCAATCTTCATCAACAAAACCACTTGAACATATTTGATGAAATGTTGGAGAAAAAGACATAAATATTCGATGAGATATTGTTTTATTTGAACATGGACATTGAACTGTAGTTAAATAGATATTCTCTAATGATTCGTACATTGCCATGGAAGGATTTGATACTGTTATTGTTATAATTTCCTTGCTAAATATCGTATAGAGACAGAGACAACATATCAAACCTAATTTATAAGAAAAAAATACTGAAGAAAATAAAAAGATGTAGAGTGAGAATAATCTTACCAGATAATAGGATTAAATAAACACGAGTGATAATTCTTTGCTGTTTAATACTTATTTCTGTTCGATCATGAATATTTTTAAATAAATTTAAATGTTTTAATGATTGAATTGGTTCGAATGTATTTGTATTTCGATGATCTATATATGAAAATAAAAATATTTGTTATTATCAATGACAGTTTTTAATTCGTGTTACTTGAATATTTTTGAAATTTAAAGAAAATATCAATGAAATATGATGCAACTAAACGAAGTATAATGATAAGACCGCCATAAAGACTAATAAAAAGAGTAATTGCATATGATAGAGCTACTCGATTTTGTGTTGTATATGTACATAGTGATGGAGAACATTGATCAAAATATATCGGATAGTTCATTTCTATTGACCAGTTTTGAATAAACAGAGTATTTATATAATTGATTACAGAAATATTTTCATGTTTTGATGTTAAGATCGAGTTGATCCAATTTTTGTTTGTCTAAAAAGAAAGAGAATAAATGAACAATCATTTTATGGTACTATACAAACTTGGTTTAGTTCTGGAAAATATTTCAACCATATTTGAAGACATTCATTTTCGTATAAGCATTCTAATGTACTTTGAAGGAATGCTTCAAGAGGAGTACATCCTGTAAAAAAGCCTTTGACAATTGTAGAATTAGGTAATGCTTGCAGTCGAGTTCTTTGAGAAAAACTTATTGAAATATTTGATAAAGGAGAAAGCGTGGCTGCAATTATCAAATTTCTTGAGCTGCATGTTAGAAAGCTAACAGGATTCAAGAAAAGTTTTACTGCGGTTCCCGCTGTCAAAGAAGTCCATTGATTGTATTTAATTAATTGAATTAACCAATTAGTACCAAGGCCTGTAACGAGATAATCACTTTGTATCGTCGTTCTCAAATAATTCAAAAATGACACCATTTGACTAACGGCATTATTTTTCTGAATTGCAGTGATACCATCTAATTCTAATTGAACTTGCGTTTCAGAAAGAAGTTCAATGCTAATTAAATCAGTATTATTAAGATCTGTCCGAATTTTGGAAATCATTTCTTTCGAAAGTGAACAAAACTTTGAGAAAATTTTAAACTAAATGAGAAAATAAATTCTGTCGATAAATAATAATTTTGACAAACCTGAGAAAATGCTGTTGTCCGAAAATCGAAAACACCATAGAGACTAGCATTTGCAAAATATAATCTTTCAATCCATTGTTCGTCAACAAAAATACTCGAACAAACAGGGTGCATTGTAACATTATTAAAAACGAAATTTCTGTATGGTATTGTAATTGTTTTACATGGACATGAAAGAGTTTCACCGTGTTCAAATGATAACTGTCTGAAAAGATCAGGCGTTATATTGGAAATAACCACCGTTTTGGATTCCATTTTGATCAATGTAACATAGAATAGTACATAAAGGCAAACTTAAATAAAGATTAAAATCATCTTAAGAATAAGAAAAAACATATATTGCATAGTGTGTTTACCTGAAAGAAGTACGACGTATAACCAAGTTTTATATTTTTGATGTTTGAGTACAACAGCTGGATCTTTGATAACAGCATCATCGTCATCGTAATCATGTTCTTCTAACATAAAAAGATTATACTGAAGTCCTTTAGTATAAATCCATTTAACAGAAGTTGTCAAATTCATGATATTCCGTTTATCTTGATACTTCAAAAATGATTTATATACTTTTATCTAAAATGAAAATATCTCCTTCTATAAGAAAAGAAGGTGCACTAATATGTGATATCAGTCAGTAAGTTGCATTTATGATCAAGTGATCTGATAAATACAAGATTAAGAAACGTTTTAATCTGATATCACATAAGAAAAGAAAGCATACAAAAAGATAAATTACTCTAAAGATTTCTTACAAATTGTAAAAGGAATTTTTTTAAAACTTTAATTACAATTGTGATGCTGGATACCTTGAGTTTTTATACTTGATCAATTATGTGGAAAATATAATAGATTAGAAAAAAAAAAGAAAAATTACTTGTTCTCTCAGGGAAAATATACTAGTCTGGTTTCTCAGTTGGTTTTCTAAACATATTCTGATGATACTTTACATAAATATCTATTTTCTTGACAATCTAATTTAATATTTCGACGCAATATTTTTTTATTGTTGATAATATTAAGGAAATTACCAAACACAAGAAAAGAAAATGTTGACGGTATATGTCCTTTACAAACAAATTGGCACTTTTTTTTGAAAAAGAGTGTATCACAGGATATAGATTCAACCTACACATTCTAAAATAGGAATATGCTTTTTCTTACTCGTACAGATTGAGGTAACGATTTGGAATACAAAGTCTCATCAGCTTTACATATTACTGGACTTGCCTATTTTTCATCGGCATATAATTAAAAAAATAGAATGCATAATTCTTGTATAGTAACTAACTGATTTTGACATAGAAATGTATCAGCCTGCAGAGAACAGTTAAATAAATAAGTTCATCTATAATTTAACTTTTCATAGCTTTTTCAACATAATTTTTAACATTAAAGTTTATTGAAAAAGCTTTTTTTGTAGTTTCAATAATTATTTTTGTTTTCTTTCTAGTATTTCTTAAACAACGCACTGCGATGACGCCACAAGCCTTCCTTTTAGCGCATTCTTTAAGAAAGCACTAGAGAAAAAAACAGAAGTAATCATTCAACTAGTGTTACAAATTATGTTGAAAAAGTTTGGAAAGCTTCCCTGAGTTAGCTTAGTGAAAAAATTAACTCATAGATGAACTTATTCGCCAAGTTATTTCTCTATTCAATTGCATTTCATCAAACAATAGTAACAAGTAACCCTCGGCTGAACGATTTGAATTGAATGTTTTAGTTGCTGAAATCATCCATAAAAACTTCGTTTCTACTAATACAGCTCGTCGTAGTCCTCTTTCACCTGATCATTTCACATGACAATTCATCGAAAAATTAAAAAAATATTCTACTTCTAACTGCAATTGAGAATGTTTGTTCAATAACTTACATAATCAACTGCACAATAGAAATTTATTTTACATTCGATAGACACAAATGCGAATAAACATATAAAAATTAATATCTATGAAATTTTCACAACATCATCAAAAAGTATGAACAAATCTAGTTAAATGAATATCTGAGCATAGATAAACTCATGAGGAATTCGTATTGTTCATCGCAAAACTACACAGAAGTGATAAAAAATCGTCTTATTACCTGTAAGATTTATTGAAGCCATTCTGGAAAGTGTGATCGAGTGTTTATATACAATTGATCAAGTCTTTCCATTCCAGCAACTTGAGATTTATTTGGTTTCATAAGTAAAATACTAGATCTAGATTTATAATCCATCATTACGGATGTTTTTCGATGAGTTCTTACAAGTAAGTTACTTGTACAACTTTGCGTAATTCGTGTGTTAATCAGTCGAGCGCAGGCTTATAAACAATCACACAGGCGGCCAAGTTATTGTTCTGATCTTTTCTGCATCTGATAGAGAAGGACGTTTAACGGCATATGGCATATTTTTTATCGAATATTTTGCACGTCTTTAAACCCATCTTCTATGACATTCCTTTCACCCGTCTCTCCCCACCCCCCCCGCAAATCAACGCATACCCTCAAGGCCCTCTCCAGATGACGTTTTATCAAGTTTTGCTCATTCGACCAAGATACAGCTTCAACAACCCTCGGAAAAGATGTTGTATTAAATTTTGAGCATTTTCAAAAAAAATGTATTTTTCATCTTTGACCTTTGACCCTGACAGTCACAAACAAGCATATAAACTTTGTTTTTCATATGACTCTTCTGTCAGCCGAGGGAATATTTCAAGAGTTTAGTCGAGCTGTTCAAAGAATTCCATTCGATTTTAATTAAATTATCAATTCATGTTAATGTTTGATTCTAGCTTATTCAATCAAAGTCTGATATTCATTCAATGTTCCTCAATTTAACACAATCCACTCTGGCCAATCTTATTCAATATCTCGATCTAATTCATTCGGTGTATCGAAGTTAAGTTGATGTATCAAGGAATAATCATTCCATTTATTCAAATTGGTTATTTAATTTAATCGTTCAATCTTTCTACTCAATGAATTCTGTTGTTACTCTAGTAAAATAAATCTTTTTAAGGTACTTATCTGGCGATGATGCGTGATCAGCATTGAAAGTTCGTAACAATATGAAAAGCTTCTTTTTCATTTTCTACTTCATCTTTCATCTTGATATATAGGAATGATTCGCTATATTTTAGTATATACTTTTGTCACGAAAAAGGTTGTATAGGGAATTCTATTCCACGGGATAGCCGTATAGAAGGTTTTGTAGAGAATTGAACGCTCTACACGATGCACTACAAAAGAACTCTCACTTTTTAGAATCCGCAAGGAAATAAAATAAACAACGATCTTTTCGACGTTTCTAATATGGGACACTATCCATTAGGACTATCTTCTTCATCCAAAATTATTTCGTCACTAGCATAGATATAGTACAGTTTGTAAAGTTCTTAATTATGTACATTTTCATATAAAAATATTTCCAGTTACACCTTGTCTTCGCACAGATATGTTTAAAATACTTTTTGTAGGAGAAAAACACAACTTTTTCTTAGTGATTTTTTCAGAAAATCTGTTGAAAAACAGTATTTCACCGTTTTTCTATTTTAATGCCAAAATTTAAAGTAAAATAGCCATTTAACCAAACAGGTTGAACAAAAACACTCTCAAAAAAGTATATATTGAACACTCTTCGCATGATCATATTATGATCTTCAAACTGACCTAATAATACAGCGAAAATATATATTCAACTATTTCTTTTATTCGAAAAATAAGTACAATAATTTGTTACACATGAATCATGATAACCGAATAATTTTGGTTTGCTTTTGTTTAAAGGTTTCTGCCATACAGATGATAAAAGTTTTGTAATCCATTGAACCATATCACTGAGACATTCAACATCATAAAAAACATTTGAGTGTGCTCACAATCAAAGCGTCATATTGCACATTTTTAATAGTCGCTTCTATTTTTAGGAATATATTGACGGCTAATGTTTATATAAATTTATTTTCGAATAGTTTATTTAAATGAATTTTAATAAAAAACTTACAAAGTTTATTGGAAGAAAAATCGTTCATATTTCGTTTATATAGAATAGGAACATTTATTTCAGGGAAGTTTGTAACGCTGTACTCTATTATTATCATTATCGCTCACGTAGAGAAAGCTTTCGTTAGCACTCAGCAAAACATTTGAAGGACCGTATAATAGTGTTGCATTAGCGCCAGTAATACCTGTCATGCCTATAATTGTTATTCCCGTTGTTGCTCCAACTTTCCAAAGTTGAATACGATGATTTGATTTATCAGCAATATAGATATCGCCTGCTTTAGAAACACAAACATCATAAGGATTATACAGTTGACTACTGCTCAATCCTATTCCATGACCACCAGCAACAGTTGTGCCAATTGTTCCATTGCTAAGATTGAATCTCTGAATTCGCGCGTTACCACTATCAGTAACGTATAAGTATGAATTATTCTCGTCAAGAAAGAGACCATAAGGATATCTAAGCATATTAGCTGCATTACCTGCTGTACCGGTGCCAGCAAATAATGTACCAACAGTCGCATTAGGTGTCCATTTCATTATGCGGTGGTTTCCTTTATCCGATATATAAAGATTTCCTAATGAGTCGCGAGTTAAACCCATTCCGCTGCCCAGATTTTCGTTTGTACTTCCATTTGTTCCAGTCCCGGCGATTCGTGTACCATTCGTTGCATTCGCCCGCCACAGCATCACTCGATAATTCAAATCATCATATATATATACGTTCCCTGAGGCGTCAACAGCTATCTCTCCGGGTGAACCAAGCTGATTGTCAGCCGTACCACGTACTCCGGTGCCGGCGACTATAGTTCCAGTTAAAGAATCTGGTTCGAACCTCATCACTCTACTATTTGAATAGTCGGCAACGAAAAGTAAATCAGCAGCGTCTAATGCCAACCCAAATGGATTTTTTAGACTCTTATAAGTATTTCCTGCTGAACCATTGCCATATCCAGCAACAGTAATTCCACTTAATGGAAACGGATCTGTATGAAATAAACGATTATTTTCATTATTAAAATGGTATGAAATACAAAGATACTACTGGTAGTGTGGAGGTAACCTTTAGGACTTATTTTCACTTAGCATGGATGTATAGAAACTATTTTTAGGAAAAATTCAATTTTCATATACCTTCGGTTACATTTCGAAATGGTGGTGCCTGTTTAAATATAAATTTCGTATTGATATCTTTGACTACCATTCCCGATAATGAATAATTGACAAATAGATAACATGTTTTATTATTCATATAGCAGTTCAATCCAACATAAGATGGAGATAGACTTGAAAAGAATGCCTTACAAAGACATTCTGAGCAAGAATTGTTGTATTCGATAACAGTAATAGTATCGTTGGACACGTATTTTGCATTAGTAATCGAGCCGATACGAGTTGTACAATTCATATTAATAATTTTCATAATTAGAAAAAGAAAGGAAAGTACTATTTTCATATTTCATCAAATGAAAGAATAAAGAAGTAATATGCATTTACTTATTTATTTCATATTTTCCTTCTTCTGTTGAAAGGTTCACATTAACCGATTTTCTTTTTTAGTCTAAAGTGATGAACGGCAATTTAACTCGATTGAGCGTATGAATGACATTTTACATAAGTTCCGTATCGTTTGAACGACGAAGAAAATGTTTCTCGAGCTTAAAATATAAATATATCTCTTAAAAGTATTTCTTCATCCTAGACACATTTTATAACAATAAATATAAAAGCATCGCAACTCATCTTTTTCGATATAGATAAGAGTTTGATAGTTCAATTATATATATGTAGTAGTAGTTGAGAATATCTGTGAAGAGCAGCACACAATCACTGTGAATTCACTCAAAAGCTATTGGATATTCTCACATCTAATAAAGCATAATTTTTGCATTCACTCTGAGTTAGTTCTTCATATGAAGGTCTATGGCGTGTTTTTCCAATGTTCGTCGGTTTCTACATGAAAATATTCACTGAAATTTAAATCGAAAGAAATTAATTCACGCAATTTTTTACATTTAAAATCATTACAAACTAATTTCAAACTGTCAAAGGTCAAACTATAACTTTATAAACAAATTCACTCGTTGTAGCAAGCAATGATATTGGAGAATTCAACCGTATTTATAATATTGAATGATGCTCACTTATCTTCTAATTCAGCAAATCTGATTTTTTTGTGAAAATTTAGTTAGAAAAACGCTAGATTTCCAAAATTTTTCGACATCATTTGAGCTAAAGTTCGTTCGTTTGTCCGTTCACGTACTTTACACTAACGAAAAAGCAATCTATATCTCTGACTAAGTCAGATGGTGTATAATCATTTTTTGTTTATCACTACTACAAAAGATCTAGTTTTTTTTCAAAAAGAGATAAATGTCTTTTCATTAAATCCACTATTGTGGTGATGGTCATAGTGATGTCATTCATGCACTGTTAGACAACGAAGATAGTGAGAATCCCTGCAGACGTATATCAGTATACTTTCGTTTTAATCGAGTGTATATTTCCGCAGAAACTGCATATTACGTGTTTTTTCGTCCAAGTGAATGTCTGGTTATAAAGACGAATTCGTTAGCCAATAATCGGGTCAAGTCGAACAAGTGGTCTTATCATTGTGATATTAATTGGTTAATTGTCTGGCAAAGGGTACGACATTTTAGATTTCTTCTGATCTTGGCTATAGTGTCTTGCTGTTTGTTAAAAAAGAAAAATAAATAGACAATGGTCGTGACGCGTTGCTACCTTCAACCAACTCACTTTTTGTTGTCCTATATCAGTGGAGACAAAATACATTCGCTCAACACTACATCTATATTTAGCAACCGTGATGTCACTGTCATATTTATTGAAAGTTGCATTCCAAATGTAAATAACTATAAAATATCTCATGATTAGCATTTGTCTCACTTTTTTTATCTTCAAGAAGAACCTAACCGGTTCCACTATATCATCGCCACATTAATGCTTTAAAAATGTGTGTGGAAGATCAGCGCGATGATATTTAGCAATCGATTCGAGCGTACTAATTATTTGTGAGACGTCTCCATCGGACAAGCCAGCGTGCAGTGTTAATCTCAAGAGAGATCGATTGACGGGTGTAGCAGGTGCTACGAATATGGCTCCTGAGATTCCTACATCTTCAAAATAGATTTGAAGTTTTTTCGAAAATGGATTCGGTCCACCAATCAAACACAGAATGGGACTCGGTAACGGTGGTTGTTCGACATCAAAGTTTAATCTTACTGCCGCATGACGTACGACTGTTGCAATCTCCATCAGTCTTTGTCGCTTCTTATCTGCATTGTAGATGATTGTCATAGCACGTTGAAGACGTTGCAAGTCCCAAGTCATAAGTGCACTGCTAAATATTGACGCTGAAGAATTTTCCCTCACATATAACACTTCTTGAGCTCGACCGGCAACAAATCCTGCGCGAACACAGTATGCTTTAGCCAGACTACCTGTAATAAAGTCAATACGACTTGTCACATTAGCCAACGCCGCAAGACCACGACCGTGAGGCCCATACAGTCCAATTGAATGAGACTCATCGACCACCAACATACAATCATACGACTCCTTAAGATTACATAATTCCACCAGATCAGCAATTGAGCCTTTTGCCGAGTAAAGAGAATCAACAACGATGATTCCACTACCAAACTTGCGAAGATGTTGCTCAAGGTCTTCGAGAGAATTATGTTTGATCTTGTGAATAATACCACGACTGGCACCCTGCCAAAGCGATTCATGAGCAGCAGCATCGATATAAACATGGGTCGTGGCCGGGATAACTATTGATTGTAGTAGACCATAATTGGCGGCATATCCACTTTGAGCTAAATACACACACTCTTTCCCGAGTATTTGTTTCGCTAACAAGGCAGACAATTGATGTTGAAGACAGTCATGTTGCAAAAATACTCCTGACATAATATTATCTGACCCCTGCCGGCGGACAGAAACTGTCTGCATATGACTTGTTGAATTTTGAAGAATTCTTTTGTGCATATCTGGAGTAACACTATGGGTATCAGAAATAACTAATTCTGGGTCAAATGACAAATTCAAATAATCATTGTTATCGACATGAATGCTTATCCGATCTGGATGTGTCAATGAAAGAAAATCGATGACACCTTTTCGTGTTGTAAAAGATGCAAAATATTTTTGTATATTTTGACGAAGCTGTTCCCTTATCGAATCAATTTTTCGCGTTTGATCAGCGGAAATCATTGAAAGTCCCATTGATGATTGCATATTAATAGTCTCTCGACCTGAAAAACGCAACAAAAACAAGAGAGTGACATTCTTCGAAACATGATCGTAGCATCTTAGCATCACATTGTTATTGTTTCAACTCGAGACAAACAAAGAAACCTACTGATTTTAATAGCAAGGTCTTACCACGATATAATAGCTGCTTGTCGATGACTGCAATTAAACGATTGAAACAAACGCGATTGTACACACGATAAGCCATATTGAATAGCTATAAGAATGATTTTCTAAAACTACAAAATAAAAAATGTCAATTGAAAAGTGTAGACAATGTTTGTGTGTATAAACGAGAGCAAAAGAAAAAGACTAAACAGTCTTTATAAACAAACCGAACCATGACTTAGAAAGACATAGGAAGTGAATCACGAAGGAAAAGAACGTACGTCAGTGGATTGCGTCACGAAATATGTTGAAAAAATCAATTGTAATTGGTATAATGGTGAAAGTGAGAGTATTTTATATGTTCTTTTTCTCATAGAGAAGAGTCTTAGAAGCATAAATCGCTTGCTTGTATGTCCGCAGAGTAAAAAAAACGTCGAAAATCGAATTTTCGTTAAAGACATTTCGAGAGGTACTTCGATGCGGAGAATTCGAATCTGATGTTACTTTTTTAGGCAAAGAATCACTTTTTACGAAAAAAATTTTTTAAAATAAAACTTTACCAAACGGTTTTGAGGGCGAGGAATCGAATTTTTGAAATTTTTATACGAACTGACAGAGAATAATAAAAGCTGAAGAACTGGAATTCAAGGTTAGTTCTTCTATAGTGCATAAACAAAAATCTTCGTAGCATTGTAGAACGATATATCTACGAGAAAGAGCTGAGCGAGCCCACAGGCGAGCGTTACTTGTACTGTTAACGATAACGATACTCATACCGTCACCATCAAGAAAAACGACGTAGAGAAATTATTCAATAAAAGCACGAGCAGTTGCGTATGACTCAATTACAGAACTTACTATTCACGACTCTGAATGAATCATCTTGTGAGAAAAATCATTTTCTTTTACTTTCGTTGTTTTTTACTCAATGCGATAAAATATGGTGCAACAAGACATTTCTTCTTTTCTTTTGAAATTATCAAAGAGAATATATGGCAACAAAAAGTATCGAAGCCGATCATGTCGAGCAACAAGGCGATAAATATATCTCAAATCTAAAGGAAAAAAGCATCAATTCATCGACTACTTTCAAACAAACAGCTGTATGAGTCGAAGAAAATGAAAAATGTTCACACCTTCTCGATTTACTCAACAAACAAGAAAGTAAGAATTACAAAGAGAATGAGTTAACTAACATATTTCCTTTGACTATAACTTTAAGATACAATTCCATTGACAACATTAGTGTACGTAAAAACAAGACGTAGTGTTGATATACTCGATGAACTGCTTCGAACTCATCATTCTGCTGTAGCTAGTATTCATGGCAATAAAGAACAATCTCAACGCAAAGAAGCTATTCAGTCGTTTAAAACTAGTCGTACACGAATTCTTGTGTCAAATATTGTTTCTGTGCGTGGCAACGATATTTCGTATGTATTTATTTAGAAGAAAATTCACTTTTGATGTGTCGACTGCTTGTAGAAATATTCAGCATATTATTAATTTCGATTTCCCAAATGATATTTATGTGTATAGAGAATGCATCGGACGAATAAATCGCTATACTGGTGATAGCGAATGGACCATTTCCGTTAATTTGAAATTAACGTAAACAGTAACCCGTTAACCGTTAATTTCCACATTATTAAGTGATTATCGCATAACCGGACTAAAACGCTGCCGACTTGTAAGAAAATTAATAACCAATACCGATCTCTGGAGGCCAAATACAATCCGAGGTCAAAGAAACATCCTTATAAAAGGCCTTCCCGGTGGATTTCCAGTGAAAATAAGTTTTTGAAAAAAAAGTCACGGTCATCGGTGATTAGCCGAAATTGACCAATCAGAATCCGATGTAATGGGCCTTAGAATAAAGAGTTTTTGCATACTGGTTCCCACGACGGTATTAATCTGAGAGGTGAGTATCTTACCAGGGTTCATGTAATTAATGCTGCGTTCTATAGATAATTATTTGTCAGAAAGGATCACAGATTATGATTATTTAATCGTTTAGCAGTTAATTAAGTAGAATTAAATTAAATGATCCATCCCTATTCCTAATGGGAGATTATGAATCGAAAATTTTATCTGTAGATGTATGTTAGTGGAGGTGTATATATGAGTAATTTGATCTAGTTCAAGTGATTGAGTGGTATCCAAAAGCTCTAGATAAAACAGGTAGGAATCGTAGTGTATGCGAAGCTATGTGCACAACGTGAATCGATCGTGACAGTAGAGGATTTAATACGCATAATGTTGGTGTCTGTTTTTGTGTGGTTGTGAATATCTCATGGATTTGTGAAGTATTCATTTGCTTTCGTTATGCAGTTCCAAAAGGGCGTGGGCTAACATAGTTCGCGTAAGTTTGCGGTATATCTTGAGAAAACTGATCAATATTCCATACTTCTCAGCCGTGTGATTAAGAAACTAGTAACGCTCGTCGAGGCAGACTCGCTATGCCGTCGACTGAACCACTAATTGGAAATAAAATAGTCTTATGTGCGTTTTATGCAAAAAAAAGACAGAAGTATAACCTTTGAAAGGGTCCTCAGAGACTGATCTGCATTCGCCTCACAGTCTTCAAAAGAGTCAAAGGACTACTTGTGTTGCTTTTAATTATTCTATATTCCTGACTGACAGATACTCTTCACAGGAAGCAGAAGTTCGCTATAAATGACTATTATGGGTTTGCACCTTTAAATATGTCCTTCTTTTTCTAAAAGAAAGATAATTTCAGTAAGACCAAATGAGACTGTATACATTTCGCATTCGAATGTGTCGGATCGTTGATACTTTGGTAACTGGCTAGATTAACAGGCGTCACTCACAACTCGCCGCTCCAAAGCTGTCCCTATCTATCATATAATTTCCCGTGTGCTACTAAAAAGTATCGAAAATTAATTAGCATTCCATCAGCATCTCATAGATAAAATTATCCGCATCCGAACATCTGAGGCTATCTTCTTAATCAAAAGGCTTAAAGGCCTACAAAAACTTTCAATATATCGAAGCTCAGCATTTAAGATTGCTTTCCAGTATGTAACTTGTGAATGAATTTATTTTTGGATTACTGGTCTTTAGTATGCGACAGTCAACCGAGTGTGTTTTTACTTTTTCGTAATCAACTCTTCTATATAGCCCTCCTCTCATGTGCGGATGAAATATTTTCTTCATTTCTGTCACATCCTTGCCCCTTCACCCCTCATCCAGCCAATCTCGAGCCTCAGGATCCCTCCCAAACGATGTTTCATGAAGTTGTGAGCATTTTCGTAAAAAAATGTTTTTTTGACCTTTGACCCCGACCCTCACCTCCCCCTCGACCAAGATCTAAACTCAACACCCCTCCAAAACCTTTTTTTCGTATGACCCTCCTTTCAGTCGAGGGAATTTGATTTTTCAGAAAGGTTAACGAATACAAAAGAGAGTTAACTAAGACTTTTATCAAGATGTTTTTTTTTCTTTTTGAAATTTGCAACAGTATCTTTTAGTTTATACTACGACATATAAATTAATTAACAAAAGAAGGTCACACCGAGAGGTATATGTTAATAACATTTTCTTGTTGATAAAAAGATATTTAGTAAGTCCTTATATGTCAAAGCTGTGCTCTGCAGATGAAGAGAAATTAAATCTATAGAAATATTGAATAGTTGAGTCGAAGCAAGAGATAATATTGAAAACAAAAGAAATCATAGTAATTTGAAAATAGAAGTTCTGCTCTTTCTCTTGGTAAAACTTTTCTTCTTCTTTTTTTGATGATTCAGTATAGATATCTGAAATATGTAATAGAATTAGATCCTTGTGCCAGGTCGTCTTTAAGCTATATAAATCTCGGTTGAGCATTTTTAATCCGTTAATATTTTATCCTTTTTTTAATTTTCCTAATGTAACAACGCATTTTTTGATTCTCCGATAGATTATTCCCTCGACTGTAGAGAGGGTCATATGAAATAAAATAGTTTGTCTGTCTGTCTGCTTGTGCCAGGGTCAAAGGTCAAAAAAACATTTTTTCCTACAATTATTGAAACAGATTGAAAACTTCTCCTGTGCTGGTCTTAGAACGAGCGCGGATGAAGAGTGAAGGCGGGAGGGGGGGGGTTCTGGGGAAAGGAGGGGTGTGGTGATGTNGTAGAATAATTTGTTACACATGAATCATGATAAGCAAATAATTTTGGTTTGCTTTTATTTAAAGATTTCGGCCATACAGATGATAGAAGTTTTGTAATCCATTGAGCCATATTATCGAGACATTCAACATCATAAAAAACATTTGTGTGCTTACAATCAAAGCGTCATATTACACATTTTTAATAGTCGCTTCTATTGTTAGGAATATATTCGCCGCTGATGTTTATATTAATTTATTTTCGAATAGTTTATTTAAATGAATTTTAATCAAAAACTTACAAAGTTTATTGGAAGAAAAATCGTTCATATTTCGTGTATATAGAATAGAAAAATTTATGTCAGGGAAGTTTGTAACGCTGTACTCTATTATTATCATTATCGCTCACGTACAGAAAGCTTTCGTTAGCACTCAGCAAAACATTTGAAGGGCCGTATAATAGTGTTGCATTAGTGCCAGTAATACCTGTCATGCCTATAATTGTTATTCCCGTTGTTGCTCCAACTTTCCAAAGTTGAATACGATGATTTGATTTATCAGCAATATAGATATCGCCTGATTTAGAAACACAAACATCATAAGGATTATACAGTTGACTACTGTTCAATCCTATTCCATAACCACCAGCAACAGTTGTGCCAATTGTTCCATTGCTAAGATTGAATCTCTGAATTCGTGCGTTACCACTATCAGTAACATATAAGTATGAATTATTCTCGTCAAGAAAGAGACCATAAGGATATCTAAGCATATTAGCTGCATTACCTGCTCTACCGGTACCAGCAAATAATGTACCAACAGTCGCATTAGGTGTCCATTTCATTATGCGGTGGTTTCCTTTATCGGATACATAAAGATTTCCTAATGAGTCGCGAGTTAAACCCATTCCGCTGCTCAGATTTTCGTTTGTACTTCCATTTGTTCCAGTCCCGGCGACTCGTGTACCATTCGTTGCATTCGCCCGCCACAGCATCACTCGATAATTCAAATCATCATATATATATACGTTCTCTGATGCGTCAACAGCTATCTCTCCGGGTAAACCAAGCTGATTGTCAGCCGTGCCGCGTACTCCGGTGCCGGCGACTATAGTTCCAGTTAAAGAATCGGGTTGGAACCTCATCACTCTACTATTTGAATAGTCGGCAACGAAAAGTAAATCAGCAGCGTCTAATGCCAATCCAAATGGATTTTTTAGACTCTTATTAGTATTTCCTGCTGAACCATTGCCATATCCAGCAACAGTAATTCCACTTAATGGAAACGGATCTGTATGAAATAAACGATTATTTTCATTATTAAAATGGTATGAAATACAAAGATACTACTAGTAGTGTGGAGGTAACCTTTATGACTTATTTTCACTTAGCATGGATGTATAGAAACTATTTTAGGAAAAAATTCATTTTTCATATACCTTCGGTTACATTTCGAAATGGTGGTGCCTGTTTAAATATAAATTTCGTATTGATATCTTTGACTACCATTCCCGATGATGAATAATTGACAAATAGATAACATGTTTTATTATTCATATAGCAGTTCAATCCAACATAAGATGGAGATAGACTTGAAAAGAATGCCTTACAAAGACATTCTGAGCAAGAATTGTTGTATTCGATAACAGTAATAGTATCGTTGGACACGTATTTTGCATCACTAATCGAGCCGATACGAGTTGTACAATTCATATTATTAATTTTCATAATTAGAAAAAGAAAGGAAAGTACTATTTTCATATTTCATCAAATGAAAGAATAAAAGAAGTAATACACATGTACTTATTTATTTCATATTTTCCTTCTTCTTTTGAGAGGCTCACATTACTCGATTTTCCTTTTTAGTCTAAAGTGATGAACGGCAATTTAACTCGATTGAGCGTATGAATGGCATGTCACATAAGTTCCGTATCGTTTGAACGACGAAGAAAATGTTTCTCGAGCTTAAAATATAAATGTATCTTTTAAAAGTATTTCCTCGTTCTAGACACATTTTATAACAATAAATATAAAAGCATCGTAACTTATCTTTTTCGATATAGATAAAAGTTTCATAGTTCAATTATATATATATATATAGTAGTTGAGAATATCTGTGAAGAGCATCACACAACCACTGTGAATTCACTCAAAAGCTATTGGATATTCTCACATCTAATAAAGCATAATTTTTGCATTCACTCAGAGTTAGTTTTTCATATGAAGGTCTATGGCCTGTCTTTCCAATGTTCGTCGGTTTCTACATGAAAATATTCACTGAAATTTAAATCGAAAGAAGCTAATTCACACAATTTTTTACATTTAAAATCATTACAAATTAATTTCAAACTGTCAAAGATCAAATGATAACTTTACAAACAAATTCACTCGTTGTAACAAGCAATGATATTGGAGAATTCAACCGTATTTACAATATTGAATTATACTCACTTGTCTTCCAATTCAGCTAATCTGATTTTTTTTGTGAAAATTTAGTTAGAAAAACGTGAGATCTTCTAAATTTTCTAATATCATTTGAGTCAAAAGATATGCCCTATATTCAGAGTTGAATTACCAATTTCGAATTCATTCTCAAATACGTGCATAATCGCGAATACTTAATTATGATGTTTCCTTTTCCTTAATTGCATTGAAAATCTTTGTAGAAAATATTTAAAAATTACATTCTGACTTTTCTATTTTTATTTTGTAAGCCTTTCAAAGTATCACAGATAAAGCAGAAAAGTAAAAAAATAAACAAATCTATAGAGTACTAATAATGGAAATGGTTTCTTATCTTGCATATCAGTTTTAGCGCTCAGAATAGATCACAATACGCGTTGAAACTGTTCGAGAGCTGTCTTAATGCGATAGATCATCTATACTGTTTCGCATTGTCTTCGAATATGCGTTGTAAGATTATGTTTTTCATTCCATTTATTTTGATTTACCGTTAATTGATATTCTAAATAACGATAAACTTGTCGATGAATAGCTTTTTTTGTATATAATTGTGTGATATGTAAGTTGTTGTGTAAGAGGTGGTGTGAGTGAGTTCTGTTTATTACGGTAGTATGAACACAAGAACACACGCACAGATAAAACGTAAAGAGAGAAGAGAGAGAACGGTGATAGAGGGCGGAAGGTGAGTNGCCATAATAATGTTGTTGAATGAATAATCTCGTCGCCAATTGTAAGTTGTTGTGTAAGAGGTGGTGTGAGTGAGTTCTGTTTATTACGGTAGTATGAACACAAGAACACACGCACAGATAAAACGTAAAGAGAGAAGAGAGAGAACGGTGATAGAGGGCGGAAGGTGAGTGCTAAGAACGACAAGAAACACGCGTATATACATAGGTCAGTCAATAAGTTCTAATAATCTTGATATATAATTTCATCTCTATTGACTTGACGGCTCATATTAGACTGGTCTAGTAGCGACATCTGTCGTGTATCCAAGTACCAAAAGAAAGTTTGAAAACTATCAAGCATGACGGATCGTTAATCAAAATTTTGAATACCCTTATTTTGACATGGATTAACTCTCATACGCTCCTTTATAAAGACTCGTTTGCTCCTCGGCTTAGCCGCTACAAAAATTTATGATGAATTAGTCACTGCTTATGGTCCAGATGTAGTATCATATTGCACAGTCGTACGTTGGATTTATCGATTCTTCGGTGGGCGGCAGCCGTTCTACGATGGTCATCGAGTCGATCGGCCAATCACCACGCTTACTCAACGGAACATCGACGCTATTGAAGACTTAGCGCATGAAGATCACGTATAAGCATTGAACATCAATATACGGCACCTATTATTGCGATGAATGTCTGACCGAAATCGTTGGCTCGAAATCTGTGCAAGAAAGACCATCAGCAAAGATCTGTGGTATCCAACTGCACCATGACGATGCGCGCCCACATGTCAGTGGCGCCGCTCTTGACTATCTCCGCGAAGTTGAACTCATCATTATGGCTCATTCACCTTACTCCCCAGACCTTGCTCCATCGGACTTATAGTTGTTTACACGTCTGAAGCGCAATCTCGGTACGTGTTCAGAAGCTCGAAGTTTAGTCAGAGCAATCACCATGGAGCTCAATTCGATTCCCATTGAGGAATACCAAAAGACATTCCACAAGTGGATTGAAAGGGCGAAATTTTGCGTTGAACATCAGGGCAACTCTTTCGAACATTTGATGCAGAAAGATGGACAAAAGGTTTCTTCTTTAAATAAATATATTAAAATTATTAGAACTTATTGACTGACCTATGTATATGTGTGTACACTGAATAATCCCAACATATGTTAAGCATATGTGAAGGAAAACTCCAACACATGACGTAATGGAATAGTCCATCCAACACCTCCACCTTTAAAATTGCCACTATGGTGAATACCGGTCAGGTGGTCGCCGTTGTCGCTGTGGATATCGAGGTGATTGTTGTGGTGTGTGCTGTGGTGTCTGCTGCGGTGTGTGTTGTACCACAGGTGTTACTGTTGGTTTATTTCGGTTCAACAAATTCTCTGTTAAATCTTCCAGATCATCTTGAATGTCCGGTTCTCGACGAAATCGAAGTTGGTTTTGGTGGCGTACGCATGTTTGTCCATTTCCTAATTCGATCCGATACATCATTGAACCTACTTGGTGTGTAATAACTCCAGGAATCCAATCGATACGTTTATTGCGTTGATGATTCCTTACCCAAATTTCTTGTCCAATTTTATATTTGCTTGATTTTCTCTTTTGTGGTTTTGCCAAACTTGGATGTAATCTTGCCAGTTCGGTTCGAATTGGTCTTCGAAAGAGTGCTTCTGCTGGAGCGGTGCCAGTAGTAGTATGCGGTGTCCAACGATAGCTGCGCAAGACATTTCTCAATGCAACTGACTTATTTGTTTGGCCTGACTCTTGTTGCATGATCATTCCTTCCTTGAAAGATCTAACGAATCTTTCGGCAATGCCGTTGCTTGGTGGGTGATAAGGCGCTGTTGTGATGTGCTCGATGCCGTATTGCTTGTAAAATTCTTTCATTTCGAAGCTCGTAAACGGTGGTCCGTTGTCTGATACCAATGTTGTCGGTGGGCCCAACCAATCAATGGCTTGTTCAAGAACATTGCATAGATTCTTGGCGCTTGTGTCATGTCCCATGTCTGCCACGAATGGGAATTTGGATTTTGCGTCGACCATAACTAGCCATTTTGAATTCCATAATGGTCCAAGAAAATCCATGTGTACGCGAGACCACACAAGTTCAGGTTCTGGCCATGGCTTGAAATCTTCTTTTGGTTTTGCAGCTACCATAGCACATATCTTGCATGACTTGGTCATGTTTTCAATATCCAGTTCCATTTTTGGCCACCAGCAATGGACACGGGCCAGTTGTTTCATTTTCACTACCCCTAAATGTCCCCGATGCAGCATTTGTAAAACACGAAAGCGCAAGGACTTGGGTATGACCACTTGTACATCTTTCAGTATGCAACCATGTGCTACTGATAATGCTTTCCGAACGCTAAAATACGGGAAAAGATCAGGATCACTTTTCTGTGACATCGAGTTAGGCCATTTGTTCATTATATATTTCTTGATTACTTGTAGATGATCATCTGTGTCGATGGCCATTTGAATTCTGTTCGAATCGATTA